CCTTCTAAACGTGAACTCTTTACAAAAGATAGGAATGTTTGTCTTCATATTTGACCTTAATGTAGAAATAAAAATATTTCTGAATAAAAAGTAAATCATCGGCCGGCGCCGCGGCTCACTAGACTAATCCTCCGCCTTGAGGCGCCGGCACACCGGGTTCTAGTCCCGGTCGGGGCGCCGGATTCTGTCCCGGTTGCCCCTCTTCCAGGCCAGCTCTCTGCTGTGGCCCGGGAGTGCAGTGGAGGATGGCCCAGGTGCTTGGGCCCTGCACCCCATGGGAGACCAGGAAAAGCACCTGGCTCCTGGCTCCTGCCATCGGATCAGCGCGGTGCGCTGGCCGCAGCGCGCCGGCCGCGGCGGCCATTGGAGGGTGAACCAACGGCAAAGGAAGACCTGTCTCTCTGTCTCTCTCTCTCACTGTCCACTCTGCCTGTCAAAAAAAAAAAAAAAAAAAAGTAAATCATCAACACAACTTGCTATAAAGTAAAACGCATTCATAAAATTTCATTTACAACTGATTTTTATGACCTTCTAATACTAAAAATAAGCAGAATTGTATCTTTGTAAAATACACAAAAATATAACTGAGACTATATTTATGCAAAAAACTTTAGGTAACATAACAGCTGCATAACCAAAAACACAGAGGAAAATGGGAATCTCTTCATCCGCCTAACTTATGAAGTAACAGCAAACAGCCATTAACAAATGGTTGTAAAGCAAACTATAAACACACATGCTATTATATAATTACAGTCAATTAGTAAGAGTAATTTGCTCCAACACTTGAAAGAGTTCTATAATAACACACAGAACTATATCCAGAACTTTGGATTCAGACAAAGAGAAATGCAATGTCCATTGGTATAATGTTGATAAGAAACACTTAAAAAATGCTTGACTTTATACACCTGCAAAGAACTGTAAGGAAACAGACATAAACAGTAAGAGGCAGTTTCTCCCTCCACATTGCTACTGCTTTATTAAAATATTCACAGTAAGTAAATATTGTATTTGACCTGTCACCAAAGTAAAAACGTGAAGTGACATTAAGTATGTGCTTTGAAGAAACGATGAGATAAGAGGAAATAACTTTCTTTTAATACTAACAGTGCCTGACACATTTGACGGTAGATAAGTGTTAAATGACAATTAATTTTTCCTAAGGACTGCAGAGGTTGTATTATATCAAATACAACAGCAAATAGTTCTTTCCAGTGGGAAAGCTTTAAAAAAAAAAAACTTTTAAAATTGCTATCAGTCTCACAGATGCCTGTTAAAAGGATATAAATAAGTCTTCACATTGAGAGCTAATATTTGAGCTTTCTAAATTTGTCCTTTTTTTTCTTTTTAAAAATTTATTTATTTGAAAGGGAGGGCGGAAGGGAGATCGTCCATCCTCTGGTTCACTCCCCAAATGGCTGCAACAGCAGAGGCTGGGCCAGGCTGAGAAGCCACAAGCCAAGAACAACATCCTAGTCATCCAAATGAGTAGCAGTAGGCCCAAGCACTTAGGCTTTCTTCCACTGCTTTCCCGGGCCCATCAGCAGGAAGCCAGATAGGAAATGGAGCAGCTGGGACTCAAAACAGCACTCATATAGGATAGTGGGATCACAAGCAGTGGCTTAATCCACTGTGTCAGCCCATGTTCTATCTTTTTTATTAATTTATTTGAAAGGCAGAGTTGGCCGGTGCCGCAGCTCACTAGGCTAATCCTCTGCCCGCGGCGCCGGCATCCCAGGTTCTAGTCCCGGTTGGGGCGCCGGATTCTGTCCCGGTTGCTCCTCTTCCAGTCCAGCTCTCTGCTGTGGCCCGGGAAGGCAGTGGAGGATGGCCCAAGTGCTTGGGCCCTTCACCCGCATGGGAGACCAGGAAGAAGCACCTGGCTCCTGGCTTCGGATTGGCGCAGTAGACCGCAGCGCGCCAGCTATAGCGGCCATTTGGGGGAAGGGGGGGGTGAACCAACGGAAAAGGAAGACCTTTCTCTCTGTCTCTCTAACTCTGCCTGTCAAAAAAAAAAAAAAAAAAGAAAGAAAAAGAAAAGAAAAAAGAAAGGCAGAGTTACAGAGAGAAAGGAAGAAAGGAAGAGACAGAAACAGATCTCCACCGTCTGGCTCTCCCTGCAAAGGGCAGGGCTGGCCAGGCAAAGCCAGGAGCTTCACCCGGATCTCCCACTTGGGTGGCAAGAGCCCAAGCACTTGGATCCTCTGCTGCTGCTTTCCCAGGCACATCAGCAGGGAGCTGGATCGGAAGTGGAACAGCCAGGACTCAAATTGGTGAACATGCTGGATCCTGGCAGTACAGGTAGTGGCTTAACCTGCTGCGCCACAATGCTGGCCCCTCTATTCTTTCTTAATCAATCAAAAGGTTGAGGTACACATTCTCCCTCAAAACCCTATGTTCTGCCCACCAAAAAACAAGCTGGAAATCTGGAGATCTTATCACCCTCTAAACCTTGTATTTTTTTTCTCCTAGAATCTGTCTTTCTTGTGTTACCTTTGTTATAATTATGTACAGACATTTTAAGCAGACTGGATTTCAAACCACTGAGGGCAGCAGGGTCAACGGTACTGCATCTTTCTAGGCACCTAACACAGGGGTCTTGGGTAATACTCTGAACTTCCTGCAAACTCCATTACCTAGAAAGCAACAGAGCCTGGTAATTCTTTGTAGCTTGGTAAAACTAACTCTCTCTCTCTCTCTCTCCCTCTCTCTCTCTGTACTAGAAAGGCAAGGCAGTGTTTCTGCTGTTAAGCACAAGCCAGACCAAAGGGCCACCTCTTCCCTTTCCGCTCTAAAGGCTGGATTCCATCCAAGTCAATCAGTGTCCCTCAGTCAACTACAGAGGTTCCTTAGGTTCACTTCAGAAGGAGGCTGATGTCATCTAGGGGCTTCCCTAGTGGTTTGCAAGTACATTAGAATAAAATCAAAGTTTAACCCGCGAACAACGGACAAAGTCAAAAGCCAAAGAAAATCCTAGGGTCCTAAAATCCAAGTGAACTCCATCCAGACCAGAGAACCCCTCCCATCAGCACAACCTTTGCAAACTGCACGTGCCTCCCGGGCACTGGCACCTCACCAGTGAAAAGATGAGTCTGCCCTCAGGGGCGACCAGATGCTCAACTTCCAGGTCGCCAGCCAGCCCTGTGGTCATGAGCCCACAACAGGGGCAACCTGGCAGAGTGCAAGGTAACTCAAGACAACCGTTTCCACGACTCAACAGGATGCATCTGCAAAAGCACAGAGAAACACCTAGAAGGCCATCCACCGAAGCGCTAGCAGGGCTGGGTCTGGGGAGGTCCGTGAAATCCGCACTCAACTAGGTAGAGATTTTCACTTATTGCAGCTACACCACATTGCTTTTACTTTTTCATGAGAATCAACCTCTATAATTTTTAAAACATTTTAGGTAAAATTTCCAATGTGCTTTGACTTTCTAGAGAAGACTGAATAAAGGCACCTGGCCCACGAGCCACAGCAGGGGGCCTTGATTTGAACCCAGCTCTGCAGATCCCAGCCTCCGCTAAGGTGCTAAGGTGCACGTGGGAGACCCAGATCAAGTTCCTGGTTCCCAACTTCAGCCTGGGCCAGCCCCAGCGCCTCTCAGCATTCGGAGAGTGAACCAGCAAAGGGGAGATTTCTCTGTTCCCTCCTCTCTCTCGAATGTAAAAATAAAACTTTCTAAAAAGACTGAACAGATTCACAAGGAGTTCAACTAAAAAAGGTAAGTGCCATCTTGCACAAGTTTGGCCATCAGAAAGTTCCACACCACACAGAAATAAGTTATCCTATCCTACAAAAGATGGCTCAATAAAGGTAACGTTATGAAAACTGAGCAGAGACTCCACTCACTAGTACTCTGACCACACGATATTTATCACCAAAGGGAGTACGAACATCAATTCCTAAAATCATATCTACCCAACAACCTCTTTTCCAATCTACCCTCACAAGGTTAGGCTGACAGAGCTAAAAAGTCATTAATACGAGGTTTTAAATAATGCATAGTCATAAAAAATGTTTTTTGTACAAAGAGAATGCTGCCTGTTTTTTTCTTAAGAAATAGCTATACACAAATTCACATTTCACTTGAGAGGTCTTCTCCGATTTTCTTGAGAAAGAACCTTCCCAATCTGAAAAGCCAAACTACCCTTTATTAGTTTATTAAGTTTACTGTCATTTTAATGAAGTACTCATATCCACTATTTGTAACAAAAACTGGGGGTTAATAAAACACAGCTGACTCCTGAGAAAAGGGGAGACACACAAAGACGCTCTGAAAGCATATTCCAGCCAGCTGGGACACCAGTCATAAACCAGGTCATTATCCATTTCAGCAAGGTCCAAGATCGCCAAACAGCTTTTCAAAGTTACTTGTCCATAATCTCACAGCTTAAAAATCCAAGTGGAAGTAGTCAATTTCTCCTACGCTTTATTTTTCCAAGAAAATAACTAAAATACTCAAAATGGCCCCAAATCACCATAAACAAAATACCATAAAACTAAACCAAACCCTATAAACTATTTGGGGAAGGAAGTGTTTGTTTCACCTGGTATGCGAGTGCGCGAGGCAGTCACAAAGTGTGAAAACGGACAGTCGCTGGCGCAGGCTGCTCCCTCTCCTTCCTCGGGAAGGCTTCCCAGGGTCTCCGGGGACCCTTCCCACGTAAGAGGCGTCCACCAGGGCCACAGGTGCCGCTCACCCTCACGGCAACACAGCACTCGGCTCAGCCTCCCTCGCACCGGCGTCCTTTCCACTTTCCCCCAGGCGACCAGGGCCCCCTGCACCCTTCAGCCTGCCCACTCTGGAGGACGACCCCCTCCCAGCAAGCCCCTCCCACCGACCAGACCGAGGGCGTCCCGGGGCTTCTCAGAGCCCCCAACCCATTACCTAACGACCTCCTGGGGGGGGGGGTGTTCTCCGACAGGAAGAGGGAAACACCCCGATGTCCCTCCTCATCGCAGCCCCAAGGGCCAACGCCACCTTCCGGCGCGATTACCTTTGATCCCGGGCCTGGGCGCGAGGGTCACCCCACCAGCGGCCGCCGACGCCTCTCCGCGTCGCGTGCTTCTCTTTCCCTGTTAAGAGAAAACACTGATTTTTGGTTTTTAGCTTTTTTTTTTTCCAAAGCGAGCCTGAGCGGCACAGGGGACAGCCAGAAACCCACAACCGGGCTGGACGTCCCACCTGCCGGTCCAGGGTTCGGCTCCCACCACCGCCCCGGCGAGAGACCCTGGCCAGGTTCCGCGGGGTCTCCGGAAAGTTCGTGGACACGCGTCCCACCGAAAAGCTCGGCGTGCATTTTGTTTTCCAACCCCCCCCCCCAAATTGTAAACTTACATTTTAATGCCTCGTCCGCGAACTCTGCGCGGCGCCCCAAGACACACTGTGCCGGAGGCGACAGACACCCCCGGGGGCCCGAGCGCCATCTCCTCAGAGGGCCCGCGGCGGCCGGACAGGGCGCGGCGCGGCCCGCGGGCTCCCCGGGACCGAGCCCGGACCCACGGGCGGCACCGCGCGCTCCCCGGGACCGAGCCCGGACCCACGGGCGGCACCGCGCGCCGGCCGCGCGGGGGTTCCCCGCAGGAGCTGGCCGCCCCAGCGCCCCAATGGGCGCCGCGCCAAACGTGCCCGAGCCGTGACAGGAGTAAAGTGGGTCACGGGCCTAGCGGGTCCCCGCGGCCGCCGGCCCGGCGCGGGACCGGGCGACAGCGCCCCGGGCGCCCCCCCGCCGGCCGCCCCCACCCGCGCCCGCCCCGCAGCGCGGCCCCGCGCCCGCCGGGGTCCCCCGGCCGGGGCGGGCCTCCGCCCCAGCTCCCGGGCACGGACCCGCGGCCGGCCGCGAACTCGGGCGCCACTCCCGCCCGCCCCTCCCTTGGCCGCCGCCCCCCCGGCCCCACACACGCCGCCCCTTCCCCGCGCCCGCCCCTTCCCCGCGCCCTCACCGTGCGGCTCGCCGCGGCTCCGGCTCCTTCCCTCCCCCACCCGGGCCGCGGGCCGCGGGCGCGCGCCGGCACCGACCCCGCCGAGCCGGGAGACGCCGCGGCTCCCCGAGCCGCCAGCACCCTGGGGCTGCGAGTGGCGCCCCCCGCCCACCCCCCAAATAACTGCACCGCCACAGCCGCCCGCTCCGCCTCCCCCTCCCTTCCTTCCCCTCCTCCACCAGCCCCGCAGCACGCATGCGCCGGCCGGCCGAGCGGCGGACGCCAGGCCCGGGCCCACCCGGTGGGGCGCCGCTCACCGGGAGCGCGCGCGCGCGGCGGCGGCCAGCTTTGCTCCGCGCTCCCGCGGCTCGGGGTTTCCTTCCGGACGCCGGCAGCCGCGAGCCGAGGCCGTGATTGCGCTCCCGGCGCATGCGTCGTCGGTGACCCCGGGCCCGCGGCCGGCCGCGGCTCTGCGTCCGCCCCTCCCCTCGGCTCCCTGCGCGGCGCGGGCGGTGCGCATGCGACTTGCGGGCGAGGCGGCGCGGAGCTGCTGCGGGGAGCGGGGTGCCCTCGGCGCCCACTGCCCCGCGCCGGCACGGCCAGGGGCGCTCCCCGCACCGCCGACGGCCCGGCGTTGGCGGGAGAGGCCCGCTGCGCCCTCGCCGGTCCCGGGGGCGAGGCGCCGTGCCCGCCCCTGGAGGAGGGAGGCGGGCGGTCAGGGGTGCCCGGCGGCGCTGGAGTCCTCGTCTTCCCGGCCTTTGCGTGGTCAGGGGTGCCCGGCGGCGCTGGAGTCCTCGTCTTCCCGGCCTTTGCGTGGTCAGGGGTGCCCGGCGGCGCTGGAGTCCTCGTCTTCCCGGCCTTTGCGAGGCCGCGGCAGGGGACAGGCCGGGACCCTGACTTGCAGGGGCTGGGCGGGGCGGGGGTCTCCTTAGGACAGGTGTGAATACTCCTGCTCGGGACATCTTTAAGACAGAAAGCACCCGCGGTAGGAGTGTCTTCACGGCCCGAGTCCTGAAATGTCGAATTCCTGTCCTTGGCTCTGAAGTGGAAGGCATCTTGTTTCATGTGTGGGCCCTGCCTTGCAGGTGCATCTCCGGAAACACCGCCGATCCCTGCCGTGTGCTCGGATCCCCGGTCCGGGCAGCCTGAGAACGCGGCCTGGCCCTCTCCCGCCGCATCGCACGTGGCTCCTCGCGCCTCGTCAGCGTCCTCTGGCCGCTTTCTTTGGGACTCTGCTCCTCCTCTCAGTCCCCGGTCCGGGCTGACACCCGGGGAAGCACCCTGTCCTAGGCTGCCAGTACCAAGAGGGCTGCAGATCTCCCCCGGGGGCCTTGCTCCGGAAGAATGGCAGCCTGGAGCCGTGTCTCCCACGTGGCTTGGAAGAAGGCAGATTCGGAGATGGGGATTTGGCCTCAGACGTGTCTGGTGCTCTGAACACCGGGAGGCCTAGATTCCTCTGGAGATTTCCGTTAAACTACTAGGGGGCTGTGGTTGGGTTTGAGTGAGGTTTTCTGCGACATGCTGTCAAGAGCCCGAACATACTGGTAGGCAGCAAGGAGGCAAAGCTAATAATACCGATGAAGTCGGCAGCCACCAGGTTTGAATGCTTTTCTTGGGTGGATACATGGATTTTACTCTGGAGACGGATCCCACCTCGTACTCACATCTTCTAGAATGTGTGTGTGTGTGTGTGTGTGTCTTCAAAACGACCTTTGCCCTTTTCAGTGGCTTCATTGTCCTCTTAGTCACCAGGATCAAGCCTTGCTCATCTCGGCCTCCTCCCTCCCCCACCTGTGTATTTAATTATTTACCAAGCCCGTTGATAATCCCTTGGTTCTTGCTCAGCCCTCTGCCCTGACTTGAGCATTTCCCACGGTTCACTTCACAGCCTGTCCTTTCTGCGCATACTCTCCAAGATAAAAACTGTATCAGAAAGTAGTAGCTTTCCCAGATTCCAGGTTTCCATAAAACAAAAATCCTTAGCTCATAGTTTTATACATCCTAAATGTATATCCCCCAGCCTAAAACCTTTCCTTAAACACAACTTCCGGAATTCACATGTTCCCTTCAATCTTTCTTGCGTGCCTTGGTGTCATTTTAACAGCATTTCCAACTCCCTTCTCAACTCACTTCTAGTTGATAACGTGAGGGGGACAAAATAGCCCAGTGGTCAAGAGTACAGAATAGGGAGCTGAATTACCTGCAGATAAATCTCATGTAGCTGCACGGCCTTAAGTGAGTCACTTCTGTGATTCCGCCACCTGTGAAGGGAGGCTAACAACAGTCCCATCTCACAGGGTAACTGAGAGGAGACCGTGCAGCAGTACCTGGTGTATAAACGGTCCCACAAGTGTTGGCCATTGCTATCGATGACGTCCCTGTTTGTGCAGTCCTCTGTATCTTGCTGAAATCCTTCCCCACCGCCATGGGTCCCCTCAGTCACAGAGCAGTGTCTACTTCATAATACCTCGCATCCCTTCTTTCTGTCATTACTGATTTTACTACCCTAGCTTACAGTGAACTAGAATATAGGAAGCTTCAGATGTGTATAACATGGAATATAATGCAGGCTGTAAAAGAAAAGAAGAAAGAGCCTACATGGTCTAGTCAGTTATCCATATTCTTTCTAATCCCCGTAAGATAGAAACAGTATTTGGTGGTATTATGGGCCGCGCAGTCAGTAGCTGAGGCTGAAATCCTAATGCTGGGAGACTGAGCAAGTCACGTACTTCCTCTGGGCTTCAGGTTACTTATTAGAATTATGACCAAATGCAAACTAAACTGCCACATAAAGGCTGGTGATGAGGAGGGTAGCTGTAAATCATTACAACTTTGTATCTCACAAAGGTTGCTAGTCTACTCCCCCGCCCAATAACTTCAACCACCCCCTTTAGAACAATCCTGGAAGCTGGCACTGTGGCACAGTGGGTAAAGCCACCGCCTGCAGCACTAGCATCCCGTATGGGTGCTCATTCGCATCCGGGCTGCTCCACTTCCGATCCAGCTCTCTGCTGTGGCCTGGGAAAGCAGTGGAGGATGGCCCAAGTGCTTGCGCCCCTACGCTGTGGGGGAGACTCAGAAGAAGCTGCTGGCTTCAGATGGGCACAGCTCTGGCCATTGCAGCCATGTGTGTGGGGAGCAACTGGGAGCAACTCGGACTAGACTAAGTTACTGGAATTAAGACTTATTCTATGCATCTGCTCTCCCACAATATGGCGCTGGGAGAGGAGGAAACAGCTTCTACGCAGCTGCCTCTTGCCAACTTGAGTGATGACCTCCAGGAGCTGATCCTGCTCCTGATTGGAGGAGAGCAGTGTACTCGGCGTGTGGGTAGCAGAGTTGGGATTGGTGGAAGAGGACTATAAGGAGGAGAGAGACAACATGCACCAGGAACATCTAAGGGGAACATCTAGCTGAAGGAACACCTGTGCAGCCTCCGAGAGAGCCGGCCAGTGGTGTGCCGCTCCCCCGCGGAAGTGGGGAAAGTGGCTAGGGGGAACCGCCCTTCCACGGAGGTGGAAGGGACAGTAGCCAACCCGGGAAGAACCAGCAGCAAACCCGGGGAGGGCCGAGCAGACAAAAGAACAGCGCAGGGTCCTGTGTCGTTCCTCCACGAAGACGGGGAGCGACATAATGGTGCCGTGACTCAGATAGGAAGCCTAGGCAGGGTTCAGTGTCGCTCCTCCACGAAGAGGGGGAGCGACAATGTGGGGAGTGAACCAGCAGATCCAAGACCGCACTCTCTGCCTCTGCCTCTCTATAACTCTGCATTTCAGATAAAAGTAAACAAATCTTTAAAAAAAAAAAAAAAAAAAGAATCCCGGGCTGAAGGGCTCGGCTCAGTTCCTCGTTGGAATGGCTCACATATTTTTACCTCCTACCCACGCTCTCTTCAAGGATTCATGCAAACTCTTTAACGTCCGGCTCCTGCGTGGTGTCTCTTCTTGGGTGCCTCAGATACCATGGATACCCCTTCAGTCTTTTCTCCACAAAACAGCAAGAACATTCTTTTGAAACTATGAATAAAATCACATTATGTTCCTTCTAAAAAACCTTTTATTATTTCTCATTATATCCAAAAAATGTTTCTTAATAGTTAATTATTTATTTGTATTTGGAAGGCAGATTAGACAGAAGGGAGAGACAGAGAGCATCCACCTGCTGGCTTACTCCCTAGATGAATGAACCAGCTAGGGCTGGGCCAGGCTGACTCCAGGAGCTTGTTCTGATCTCCCACGGGGGTGTAAGAGCCCACCTGGGACGTCAGCTCTGCATTGCACCCAAATTCTGAATCATGGCCACAGCGCCCTGTATGATCTGGGCCTGCCTGCCTCTCCAGTCTGTGGTGGTCACCCAGGCTTGTTGGCGGGCTGGGAAAGTCCCTCACTAATAGCAGTGGAAACTTCCTAGCTCCGCCCAGAAAAACAAATTTTGTGACAGGGAGAACCCATTGGACCGCAAGGAAACAAAACAATGAGCTATGAGGAGGTTACCACCACATAGAAGCCTCTCAGCTTGCAGTCTGGGCACCAGACAGCCTCGCCGTCCTGTAGACGGCTGCCCCTGGCAATGTATTCGGTAAATCTAACTCCACTCTGACTGCTCTGGGGAATTCCAAAAACCCCCATGAAACACGCCCCCAAATCCTGATCCTACCGGAGGCTCACGTGCTCACGGGAATGGTTGCTGTTACCCACTGCAAAGCTCGCCAGACACATAATAATGAGATTTCCACTAGAAACAAGGGTGCCAAA